CTTGCATAAAGAACAAAAGACCAAGAATTTTCTCTCTCTCCTAAAATCTACCTGTACTGAAGAGACTACTGATATGCAAAAACACCATTCATTCATCTACAGAAGCTATTACAGTTTAATGCATCTGATTTTATGATGACCTCTTAGCTGCAGGAGTAAGGAACTCAAGCAATGGGCTCTGATGGTATGCCACAGAAACTTATTGGGATTTCCATTTTATAATTTTCATTTTTTATCTTGTATGTATCTGTTCTAATCTTGTGATCTTAATTTATTTTTAGTAACTCCAAGGAAATTTCGATAATAACCTGTAATAGGCTGACCTGTAACCAACCCTATTTGATCTACTTGAATCATACAAATTAAAAAGGGGCTAACCAAATTATGTCAACCGATATTCATTGTGCATGGTGATCACGAATGTCAATTGGCTTAATCTATTCCTATGTGTTTTCTTGATAAATATTGTTTTGTAATGCTTTTGTGAAACATTTTGAGGAGTCTTACTACATCAAAGATGATATTTAAATGCAAACTGTTAGTCTTGTTTGGGATAGTAGCCCTTTATTTTTGCACGTTTGATCTTTCTATGTATTTCAGAACCAACCTCTGGGACGACATACTAGATATGCTTATTCTAGGTCAAACTGGCAATGTGGGTAGGTTTGCTCTTCATTCTATGAATGAATAGAAGGTAATGGGTAGAACAGTTTTGATGGGATGATTAGTTTCAAGCTGCTTTCTTTCTCCTTAATCAGACTCTACAGCCATTGGTGTCTGCTCTACCTTGCTAGTTTAATGTGCTTCCTTTTCTATTGTCCTTTAGCTCACTCACTACATTTCATGCATGTATTTTTTTTTTTTTTAATTTAGCACTTGGTATTTAGCCATCTCCCAAGCACTTCATAGGGTTTTCTATTTCTTTCCCAGTGTACACATGAGTACTCCCTTTGTAAGACACCTTTCTAGCCTTGACATATAAGATTTATAAGAATTAATGAGATAACATTCAAGATTTTAAATCTAGTATTAACACTAAGGTTAGATACCAGTTAAAAACAAGTACACTCATTCAAAATTTATTGCACGTATTAATGACGAATATGTTGCTAGCAGCTTTACTAAAGATCACCGGGTGGATAGTCATGTTTCTTTAATTGTACACTTCAGAAGCTGACCAAGCAGACCACTATCATTCTTTACAACAAATTTTATACCATCCTTTCCAAGGTAGGTGGATACAGTTTGTTGACAAGATCATATCGTCCAATCAGAATCCACCTTCAGTTACAAAAATATCTCCAAATGTTGTTTCAACTGTAGAATTAATCATTCCTAGATAGGTTCGCAGAATCCACAACCTCAACTTACAATTTTACTCTGACCTGACCGTCTTCTCTCCCACCTATCTGCTCCTCCCACCTCACTGACCAATCCCCACCACAGCACACCTGCACTCACCGATCACCATTCCACCTATCTTCCCCAGCCCCACCCCTCCCCTCTCTCTCTCTATTTCAGAGCCCCCTTCCCCCTCCCCCATTTCTGAAGAAGGGTCCCGACCCGAAATGTCAGCTTTCCTGCTCCTCTGATGCTGTCTGGCCTGCTGTGTTCCTCCAGCTCCACACTGTGTTATCTCAGACACCAGCATCGGCACTTCTTACTATCACATCTACCAATCAGCCCACTTACTGGCCAATCAAGATTGTGTATCAGAAGACTACAAGTCCTGACACTTCAACAACATCAGTTATGATATAGCCACCATGTAAAATTTACAAGTATTGAATAAAACAAATCTCTCTGGTAGAGTTTAATAATCCCCTAGAATAGAAAATTTGGTTGTGTCCATTTCCATTTCTTATCAGATTATCAAAACATAGCATTTATCTAAGTACATAACTTCAATCAAAAAAAAACACAGCTTTGGAGTATGGCTCACAATTAATTTTAATCCTATTTAGGAACTTAGTGTTACCTGAGCCAAATATTCCATGACCTAAAGGGATTGTTATTTATTCCAGTCCAATGATCTTATTTGTTCATATATTGAAAGAAAGCCTGCTTTCTTTCAACTGGCTAAAGCTAAGACCACTTTGCCTTTTATCTGAACTATTAATGCTTCACGCCTCATCTGTGTTGAATAGCCTTTGCAAATCTCAAAGAATTTTGTAAAAATATTAAGTTAGTCAAAAATAGTATAGCTTCTTACATCCTCAATTTCCATGTTCTGTTCCTTTTAAAATGCTATTCATCTGTGATTTCCCCCAATCCGTAGAGATGACCATGGTTTCTGTTTCCGAAGACGTGCTGTTTAAACTACTGAATATTTTTAGCTTTCAGTCTTTCTTTTTTTTTCAATTTCAGCATTTGAGAATGTGCAGTATTTTTAAACATACATTTTTTCTCTCCAGGGATTTCGGATAACTCTTCAGTGAAGAGTCATTATTAATTCTCCCCTTTGCCTTGGCAGGTGTAGTGTATTTTTTTAACTTAAATGCAAGCACACTTTGAAATGTAATTAACTTGCAATCATGTGTTTGGAGCACAAGATTGGGGTGGATTTTCATGCATTCATTCATGTTAGAGGAGGTGGTGATTGGAACTGATCCCTGGATTTCTGTCCCATTTCCGTCATGGGATAGAAACATTTAAACATGTGGGCAAAGACGTATCTCCAGTGCAGTAGGTTTCATTTTAGAATGCCCTTACCTCACTCCCCAACAATTTTCATTGAGTCAAACCCAATTTGATAAGAGTTGCTGTTTATGCTATCTGATTACCATAATCATCATAATAACTAAAAGGGAAATCTCTCTAAGTGGGAACCTAGGGATGGGTAAATTGAAATGCTGATGCATAATTCATATTAATATAATGGTGAAGAATGAGTTTAATATGTTCTTAATGCAATGATTTTTGATAGGGCTTTGTTTAGAAAAGATAATGTCCACTATATGTGCCAACATTTTGAATGTGGATGAGTCTTTAGATGTGTTAGATTGTGTTAGCTTTTGCTGTGTCAGTTCTTTGACCTTAAAATTGATTGGCAGATCAGTTTTTTTTCTTTGGACTTTGAAATAATGCTACAGATGGCTACATGTTCCACTGCTTGAAAGACATAAATGCATTTAGCGCTGGAGACTTTACTGTCATAATTATGCAATGGAATCTGATAATGAAAGTTTAACTGAGCTCCTACCCTCAGTAATCTGGTCAACTCAACAGTTGTTGTTGATATAATTGTCCAGCAGACTGAAAGTTTTGTTCTGGTGGAAAAGAGGTTTCTGTCTATTTGTGTACTATGACTGTTTTATAACCATCTAAAGAATTTTTCTTTGAACTTAAGTTTGAATATCCTTTATGAGTTCCTATGAAAATGCACACTGATTGAATGTTGATGTTCACAGTTTCACAGACATTTTGGAACTTCCCAATTTTATTATAGGACACGTGAGTTGTCTCCATAGTGAATTTAAGCATGGGTTGGGTGGATAAAGGGGACATGGGAGAAATGGTGGTAAATGTGGAATGAGGTATTTTGGAGGTATGTGTGGATATAAGGTTGAGAGGACCTGAGGGAAAGGGAGGGGAGAGGATGCATTTGGAGGGAAATGTATGTGGGAAGGTGGAAGCAGATGAGAGTGGGTGAGGGAGTTGAGGTTAAGGTTTTAAGGTACATTACACTCATGCACAGAGCTGGGTTGATGTCCCAGCAATTGAGGCAGGCCTTCCAATCCGTGCTTTTCAGCTTCCATCCTTCTTTGTTCCCATTTCTGCCCTGATTCAGGTGTAAGGGGTCCTGACCCCAGCCACAATGAAAATAGACTGTGCAGTCAGGTCACTGCCAGGCAACAGGCAGGATCACAACACCAGGACATGCCTGAATTGCAATTCCTACCTAATAGATGCTGATCTGGGTCACTGTGACAGATTTCAAAACCTAACAGTTTTATTATCGCTGCATGTTACCTGTACTCCATGCTACATCCCTGTGATAGTCTGGATTGTAAGTTAGTCCTTCTACAGTATTTTGCATCATGATCAACTTGATATATTTTAGTTATTTTAAGCAACCTGTGGAACACATCATGATACAACTGCAGGGCAAATTAGAGTTGAATCCAGAACCCCTGGCCACTACCACCATGACACAAAACCTAACGTGATGTATTTCATCCTTGGTCTAAATGTGAAACACACTCTATAATATTATAGTATTTTGTTAGCATCATCACCTGAAGGAATGAGAGATACCTGTCCTCTAAAATACTTTAGTGATCATTCTGTCCCCTCTTTCATTCCAAATACTGTAAAATGTTTAGGAGCTCCCCAACAATTTTAGATATGGACGTAAAACAACTTAAATTATCTGATCTGACTTGCTGTGTTATTTAATTACCACAGGTGTCTACTTAATAGTTAACTGCATGTTAATAGAATAATGCTTTTCAACTCCTTTTTTCCCCCCTGTTTGGTCTTGCATTCCCCCGTAACTCTAACTTTCCCCGACTTCAAGAAGAAAACACAAAAGGAAAACAGCACCACAACAAAAAAAATGTTATTGTACATCAGTGGAAATAATATGCCAGCAAGTCAGCAGCTACAAACTGGTGACCTCATTGTATGGTATTTATTATCTCTGCGCTCTGCGTATCTCACTGTGTGACGCATTTGAGAAGCATATCCATGAATGGTCATTCCGTGGAGAGTCTGGCTTTTTTTTATTGCATAGAGCCACAGCTCACTCCGGATTTTTTTTGTTTGTTTGTTTGTTTTTGTTGTTCTGAACACCATTCAATGCATTTGTGCAAACCGCAGGTTGCTTTCTCTCCAGGTCACAGTAGATTGCTGGATTTGGAGTGACCTTTAGCAGTCCTGCCCCCGGGCTGATTGATTGACAGGAGGACGGGCGGGCGCTGTCCGCTCCTGCCCTGGTGCTGAAGCCCGAGGGGCACCGAGCCTGCTCCAGCCGCCCAGCTTCAAGCGAAGGGAGGCGGGCTGCACAGCGGCATGGTGAAGCGCAAGAGCTCCGAGGATGCAGAGCGAGAGTGCGGCCGGGGCATCCCTCTCCCCATCCAAACCTTCCTGTGGAGGCAGACCAGGTGAGGACAGCCGCGGGCAACGAATAAATAAAGTCCGGGGTGGCCCGCTGGGGCCTCCCTATTCTCCATCAGCACCTCCCGGGATTGAACAGGCAGCGAAGGCCGGCGCGACCCCCGGGTTAAACGGATGAAGAGCTGGTGGTTAATAGGGACCTTTCACAGTGCATCTTTATCAATATGATACCTGTCATCTGTGAAAACAACCTGGAAGGAGACCATTCAGCCCATTGGGTCTGGGTTAGCACTTGGAAAGACCTATGGTTTTTGAATGTTATTATCAAATCTGTCTATTCCTTCATCAGGAAATGCATTTCAGGTCCTAACAGATCCTTGCATCAAATTAAAAATCCATCAAGGGGCCTGATTTTAACTCTAAGACAATAATTTTTAAATGGGTTAAAACCTTGCCCATTGATGAATCATTAAATAGAGATTAACTAACCTTTTCAATTCCCTTGCTGATTCGCTATGGTGTGTGGGTTCAAACCCAGTGTATATTGGAAATAATCATGAAGCTTTCAGAGATAAGCATCTTAACCAGAATATCTGTAACGCTGAACGCTGTTGTCTGAGCCTTGTTAGCCCCTCCACATTTAGAGTTTTGTTGTTTTGTTGTCAATTCTGTAGATTGCTCTATGTTTTGATGTAAGTCTCTGAAATGTCCAAGACCAGGCAGGTAAACTAAGTGAGGGAGAGAAAAAATGCAGCAACACAAATTAGGGAAGGGAGAGGTACAGAGGGGATGGGAGAGAGAAATATAAACTGGAGAGGAGAAAGGGAAAGACGCCAAGTCATAGAACCAATGAGAGAGAGTTGGTAAGGAGAGAATGACAACCTGACTGAGACAATTCCCCACCCCTTTTTTCTTTATTCATTCACGGAATGAGGGCATCGCTGGCTAGGCAGCATTTATTGCCCATCCCTAATTGCCCAGAGGGCAGTTGAGAGTCAACCACTTTGCTGTGGGTCTGGAGTCACATATAGGCCAGCCAAGGTAAGGAGGGCTGTTTCCTTCCCTAAACAATATTAATGGACCAGATGGGTTTTTCTGACAATCGTTGATGGATTCATGGTTATCATTAGATTCTTAATTCCAGATATTTTATTGAATTCAAGTTCCACCATCTGCCATGGCAGAATTTGAACCTAGGTCCTCAGAATGTTATCTGGGTCTCTGGATTATCAGTCCAGCCATAATACTACTCAGCCACCACCTCCCCAATGTGGATGTGAAGAATGCGAAGCACAAACTGGGGAGGGACGGTGAGTGAAAGATATAAAAAGGGAGGGAGAGAGGGGGAGAAATACAAATTGACAGGAACAGAGGAAGGTATACTGGGATTGGAGAAACAAACAAGGAAGGCAAATCTGAGGGAGGGAGGAAGAAAATGCAAAATACACTCGGATAAAAAACAAGAAGGAAAAACAGATTGGGGAGAGAAACACAAGCTGGGAGGGGGGAGAAAAATATACAAAGTGACCTGAGAGAGGGAACATATTAGAAGAACAGGGGTAAGTGAATAATAAACAAAGTCTGGGGAGACAGAGGGAGAAATTTGAAATGAGAGTGGGAGTGAGAGGTAGGAGAGCAACACAGAGAATGAGGGAGGGAGAGAAACAAATTGAATGGGAAGATGGGAGAGAGGCTGAAACAATTGAGGCAGATGGAGCAGGCAACACAAACTGAAGTAAGGGAGAGTTAATGTTGGCTTGTGATACACACTATAGATAGTCTAAATGTTGTGATCAGCAAAAAAGGATGTGAATTGCTATTCTTATTAAGAAAATCTGTCCATAATGCTTTACTAGACTCTAGATTGAACACTTCCTCTTCAATTACGTCAGTTTGATTCCAGCTTTTCCTTAAGAGTAGATATGTTTAGTCTGAGAAAAGGTAACCCATAGGAAGACAGATTAATCAATCAGATTGAAGATTCTTCATAGACGAAGAGGCACTAGGCCAACATGCGTGAAAGACAACTTATATTTAAATGATTGTATATAAAGCTAAGGCTGGGTTACAAGCATGGGATTAAGGGTGAAATTTAAATGACAGAAGAGAGCTTTATATTTGTATATAAATTCTTTTAAAAAGTGTAGTGTTTTATTTATTTACAAGTCTTACTGCCTCATATATAAAATAGCATGTCCAACTGTAGTTAACAATTACCACACTGTTTAAACGTTCAGCTCCACCTGATTGAAGTGTTTGTCGCTGATCTTCTGTGTGAGACAATATAGAAGTACAGGGTTATTACTATAACTTCAAGCCTTAACAATATTTCAATGTTGATTGCATCTGTGATGACTGCAACAGCTCAACCTTTACAGGACCAGAGTACTTCTGATAGCAACTTGCAGATTTTTACATTTAACTGTGCATTTATGAATCACAGAAGTTGATCGTAGTTATAACCAGCAACAGTAGGGAACACTGCCAGCCTTGTGGTTATTATCGCAACAGAATCTGGGCTATTATCTTTTATACAGAAAAGTGTTTCATTGTGAGAGATGAATTAGATTTGGTTTTGGTTTAACCATTCTTTTTTATAATTTCCTCGGTATTATAAAATTGCACAAAACTTTACAAGTTATTTATAACAAAAATGTTTTGGTTAAATCAAAGATTCTCATTGCTTTTCATTGTGGTTAATGCTGTAAAAAAACTCACAGAAATAATTCTAATTTAAAGATTATTTGTAAATCTATTTTTTTTCTTCGACTTGAAAATTTTGTTATTTTAGTATAAAACAAATTTCTAATATATCGTCAATGGCTTAGTATTATTGTATGCTGATCACATTCAGAAAATTCAATCTATATCTAGGCTTAAAAACTGGAGGCAAGAACGTAGCAAAATGGTGGTGTGCTGACTGCATAGCACTCGTTGCAGAATCAAAAGAAGATGGCAAATGTTTGCAAAAGTTAAAAGGATAAGATAGATGGAAGTAGTTATGGCAAGATGAACAATGTGTTAACAGCAAATACATACAAGCTTCTAGGGAGGAAAAAAACAATCTGAGGATTCTATATTTTATCCACTTTCTTCTTTTCCACATAAATTTGGGAAACAATTAAAGATCTGTGGAAGAAAATAGAGGCTTCTGAAATGTGATAACTGAAGACAAGAGACAAGCAGCTTGAAATTCCAAGAATAATAGGAACTTTAAAAAGCAACATCAAGAAAATAAAATATCAGTATGTCGACCATTTGATTAGATCTTACATATAAGGGAAATCTCTTCCAGATGCAGCAGAAAAAGGGATCAATCTAGACATGGTTGTGTGACACATATCACACCATGGTTATAGCCTAGTTATAGTGGCTGTGTGAGTTTGGCACAAGATAGGGGAGCATGACATGCAATGACAACAGAGCTGGCAAGAGTAGCAGCAGATGATATTGACATATTCAGTTAAGGTAAATGCATTACAATTGGCAAATGGTAAGCAAATTTTATGTGATCACATGTCACATGATCAACTAGGCTGCAAATTATCACTGTGTAGGAAGAATTGAAAAAACAATGACAAATTATTTTGAAGAATTTGTTTTTTTGAAACTATTTTGCTGTGTTTCTGATATAGAATGCTTATATCACAAAAATATAAATAAAAAGGATACTATTTGCTCAGTTGCATATTATGTTTCCAGCAATCTCCCCTTGCAATATTCTACTCTCCTCACCATTTCAATTTACTGATAACCTTGATGTGCAATAATTACAAACTGTTAAGAAAATATTTCTGGAAATGGATACACTAGTACAGCCATTACATTTGGACAACTTGTACAAATTATGTTAGTGATGTTATGAAAAATGATGGAAAATATTCATGTTTTGCAATCAGTTTATAGGTCTTGAAAGATGTGTGTGGTCAACTTTTGAATTTACATCTAATGCTTTGTGAGTCCAACAGGCCTGCCAGTTGTTTGAATCATAGTGTTCACAGGTTATTTTACATAATGTTTCTATAATGACCTTGGAGTGAAATATTTCCCAGGGAACAGTGACCCTAAGATGAAAGAATTTAGCATTCAGTTTGAGTATGGCAAACTTGGGTCAGAAGCAACTGTGCCAAACTTAAGTAAGCATAAATACAAAGGAATGAGGGTTGAATGTGAAACGGATTTAGCAGAAAAAATGGCTTTTGAAGAATGGTAATTGATGATGCACAACAGAGTTATATGGCAGCGAGAACGAGAGATTCAAGGAAAGGGATAAACTGATCATGGTTAACCAGGGTAGTTAAAGATAGCATCAAATTGAAAAGGAAAAAATGTACAATGTGACATTGATTATTAGAGGCTTGGGAAAAATATAAATTTAAAAGTCAACAAAAGATGACCAAATAAAATGGGGGAGAAAACAAACTGTGAGGGCAAACCAGGAAGTAATATGAAAACAGACAGTGAGAACTTCTCTAGATACATTAAACGAAGAGAGAAGCCAAGTGAATTAGGGCCTTCAGAAAATGAGGCTGTGGAAATAATAATGGGGAATCAGGAAATGGCAGAGGAGTTGAATAAATATTTTGCATCAGTTTTTTATGGTAGAAAGTAATAACAGCATTCTAAAAATATTAAATAATCAGGGGCAAAAGGAGGTGGGGATGAAATAAGTACAATAACTACCACAAGAGAAAACATGCTAGAGAAACTGATGGTGCTAAAGACTGGTAAGTCAGATGAGTAGCATCATAGCATATTAGAGGAAGTGGCTACAAGGATACTGGATGCAATGGCAGTAATCTTTCAGGAATTCTCAAATTCTAGAAATATCCCAGAGGTTTTGAAAACTGCTAACGCAATACATTTGTTCAAAAAGGGAGAGAAACCAACCAAAAGATAACTGTAGGCCTGTCATTGGGAAAATGTTAAGAGTATTGCAAAGGATCTAACAGCAAAGCATTTAGAAATGCAGAACATAATCAGAGCGAACTTGGTTTCATGAAGCAGAAATCTTGCATGGCAAATTATTAGATTTTTTTTGAGGAGC